CATCGAAAATAGCATCGAAATCTCACACATGAAAGGACCCCCAATTTGCAGTGCTACACGAGCAGTGGCAGACACCTTGCTATGTGTAATATCGATCACAGCGGCGTCACCTAATCCATAGTCAATTTGTACCGCGTCGTTGTTTAGGTTTAGCGACATCTTCAGCTGCACCGCACATAATCACTGCACCATAAAACAACAGTGTTCCAATCCTTTCCAAAGATCCCGCATCGTGTACTACCTTTCATCACCTGCAAGAGGATAGAAAGAGGGTCAGAGGAGAGAATATAGAGGTAAGTGGTTTAGAGAGAGAGAGATGGGAAAGAGATAATCAAGGTCTGGAATTGAAATTGTGTATGGTAAATTAATTATTTTTTGAATAGTTATATTTAGTAAAAATATTTATTTTATATATAATAATTAATTAAAAAACATCTGATTTTTGAGTTAGTAAACATAACCTATAATTTATAAATTGAGATCTCCGTTCGATTCCCCGCAAGGTGGAATTGGCTTTGTTGCAAGCGGGAGTTATCATATGGGTTAACAGCCTTGGCCTATCCATGTGCTCTCCATCCTAACTCCTGGGAGGCACATTCTGCGATTTACCTCCTCCACGATGGCCCAGGGCAGGGTCGGTGGGGGCCCTTAAGGTTGGGGTTCAACCTTTTATAAATTGAGATCTCCAAATCTCAAGGTCTCCGTAATTTCCACAAATTATTCAGAATTTACCAAACAAAGATTTTATTCCTAAATTTAATGAAAATTAATAGTACTTTCAATTTTTTCACAAATCTATTATCTCACTAACATAATTCAAATTAACTCCTTTTTTTTTTTAACATTAACGACTCACCATTCCCCATACTGATGCAAAATCCCCAATTTACTTAATGCTCAAATTTCATCTACCAAATTCAATCCCCATATTATTCCTAATTCACATCCTTTCTATCATCGTTCCTATCAATCTTCTTCTATTCTTCCATACAGTTCCGTGGCCGGATTATCTATATAAAACTCTTGCCACCTTTATGACATCATCATCATCATCATCATCACTCTTATGTCATTCATCACTCAGATAGTCCTTCTATCGTTCTTGTCACATCTCTATTTACATGAGACAAATATGGATCATGGAGTCATGCAAAAAGCAAACTTGGTTTTGTTGATAGGTCACTCACACTTCTAAAGGAGTAAGACGATATTCTCAACTCGGAATTTTATAATGATTTGGTTGGAAGTTGGATTTTAATTCTGTCTTACCTAAAATTCATCCAATTATCTTGTATGCTGAAATTGCAGCACATATCTGGATGGATATGAATGATCATTTTTCTCAGTCGAATGTTCCTAAAATCAATCAATTGTAACAGTCAATTTATGCCCTCAAGCAGGAAGGCATGTTTGTTTCATTACATTTTACACAACTCAAATCTTTATGGGACGAACTCAATTCCATTATCTTTGTCACTCCATGTATATGCTATAGTCGGCTTTACCATTACACAATCACTGCCAACGCCACAACCTATAGTGTACCATCACCTTCACCACCGACAATGCACCACCATCACCATTGCTTATTCCACAAACACCACCTTCACCTGCATTGCACTACCATTATCACCAACTATACCTCAATCTACAACCACCAGATAACCCAAAACCATCTCCATGTCATAGCTTTGGTGAGATGAGATCAAAAAAATCGAATACCAGATCTGCAGGTTGTTCTCAATCTGTCGATCTCTGAAAACACACTTTTCCGCAACCAACTCTCTGCTTTGTCCTCGATCATGTTGAAAAACTACTCACCATCACTACCACTTCACCACCTGTTCCCGTCAAAATGTTACACACATCGAAAATAGCATCGAAATCTCACACACGAAAGGACCCCCAATCTGCAGTGCTACACGAGCAGTGGCGACTGACACCTTGCTACGTGTAATACCGATTACAGCGGCGTCACCTAATCCGTAGTCAATGTGTACCGCGTCGTTGTTTGGGTTTAGCGACATCTTTAGCTGCACCGCACATAATCACTGCACCATAAAACAACAGTGTTCCAATCCTTTCGAAAGATCCCGCATCGTGTACCATCCTTCATCACCTGCAAGAGGATAGAAAAAGGGTCAAAGAAGAGAGAACAGAGAGGTAAGAGGTTTAAAGAGAGAGATGGGAAAGAGATAATTAGGGGTAAATTAATTATTTTTTGAATAGTTATATTTAGTAAAAATATTTATTTTATAAATAATAATTAATTAAAAAACTTCTGATTTTTGAATTGGTAAACATAACCTATAATTTATAAATTGAGATCTCCAAATCTCAATGTCTCCGTAATTTCCACAAATTATTCAGAATTTACCAAACAAAGATTTTATTCCTAAATTTAATGAAAATTAATAGCACTTTCAATTTTTTTCACAAATCTATTATCTCACTAACATAATTCAAATTAACTCCATTTTATGATATTAACGACTCACCATTCCCCATACTGACGCAAAATCCCCATATCATTTTTGACATTGGCCGCACATAATTGGATAGTTTTTGAATTCAACACACTTTTTCGCTAAATACATTTTGAATTTGTAAAGGATGTCAAACTCCATATAATCCATAGAATATACAAGAAGCATTATTGATTTACTTATTGCTCAAATTTCATCTACCAAATTCAATCCCCATATTATTCCTAATTCACATCCTTTCTATCATCGTTCCTATAAATCTTCTTATATTCTTCCATACAGTTCTGTGGCCGGATTATCTATATAAAACTCTTGCCACCAATATGACATCATCATCATCATCATCACTACTCTTATGTCATTCATCACTCAGATAGTCCTTTTATCATTCTTGTCACACCTCTAATTACAGGAGACAATTATGGATCATGGAGTCATGTAAAAAAGCAAACTTGGTTTTGTTGATAGGTCACTCACGCTTCTAAAGGAGTAAGACGATATTCTCAACTCGGAATTTTATAATGATTTGATTGGAAGTTGGATTTTAATTCTGTCTTACCTAAAATTCATCCAATTATCTTGTATGTTGAAATTGCAGCACATATCTGGATGGATATGAATGATCATTTTTCTCAGTCGAATGTTCCTAAAATCAATCAATTGTAACAGTCAATTTATGTCCTCGAGCAGGAAGGCATGTTTGTTTCATTACATTTTACACAACTCAAATCTTTATGGGACGAACTCAATTCCATTATCTTTGTCACTCCATGTATATTTGGTAATACCAATAATATTGTTGATCAACAAAATCAAGAGCATGACATGAAGTTTCTTCAGGGACTCCATGATTGTTTTTCAGCTATTCGCAGTCAAATTCTCTTAATTAAGCCATTTCCTTCAATTCAGCTTATCTATAATTTTGTACGTCAAGAAGAAAAACAATCAGCGATTCATATTCGAACAGTTCCTACCGTTGATTTAGCAGTGCTTCAGGTGTATAAACCTCCATTTCATCCTTCTAAAAAGCGCCGATGTCCTTTTTGGTCGTACTCTTTCTTAGTACGTATTACCAAATCCATGGTTTCCCAGATAAGTCGGCAAAAAAATCGAGCACATTGTTTTCTACTTTCGGTACTTTTGCTAGTCAATCGACACTTGAACAATACGATAAGCTTCTTGCACTTCTAGCCAAAGAAGAATATGGTGGATCATCAATCCATTTGGGAGGTACAGCACTAACTTATCTATCCTCTAGTTGGATTATTGATTTTGATAGTCAAATTATCTTGATTTAGCAGCGCTTCGGGCGTATAAACCTCCATTCCATCCTTCTAAAAAGCGCCAATGTCCTTTTTGTGAACATCGTAACAAGCATGGTCATACTCCTTTTTAGTACGTATTACCAAATCCATGGCTTCCCATATAAGTCGGTAAAAAAAATCGGGCACATCGCTTTCTACTTCCACTATTTTTGCTAGTCAATTGACACTTGAACAATACAATAAGCTTCTTGCACTTCTAACCAAAGAAGAATATGGTGGATCATCAATCCATTTGGGAGGTACAGCACTAACTTATCTATCCTCTAGTTGGATTATTGATTTTGGTGTTTTTAATCATATATGTACATCTCTTTCATTTTTTCCTTCACATTCGATTTTTCGTAGAAGTGTGTCAGTTCAACTGCTAGATGGTTCTCAAGCGTCTGTGACACACATAGGCACTGTTCATTGTTCATCATCACTTATTCTCACGATTGTATTTCATATTCAGTCATTTATATTCAATATATTTTTATTTCGCAATTAACAAAATCAATAAATTGTAATGTAGTTTTTTCATTCTCTGAATGTATATTTCAAGATTGAGCAATGAAGAAGTAGATTTGTTAGGGTAATGCTCAAAATGGTTTTTTATTGTTGCAAATTAAGATATTATTTGCGATGTATTTCCACGGGCTAGACAATTGCGTCTTTCTTTTTCTCGAAGTACATCTTGTCCTTCTCATTGCTTTGAATTAATTCATGTTGACATTTGATGTTCTTTCTTTACGCCTTCTAAAATGGATTATGTTTCTTTTTAACTTTTATTGATGGTTATTCAAGGTATACTTAGATTTATTTAATGAAACATAAATCTAAAACTTTCAACATGTTAATTCATTTTTTTAATTTAATCAATCGAAATGTCATATTCATTTTCAAAAGTGCAGCACTGGCATATCGCAAATCAGAATTCCAGCAAATGATGAGACAAATTCGGACCATTCGGCCAGCAGTCGCATCTTACTTGGAACGTGTTGGTCCCTCTAATTGGTCACGAGCAAATTTTGTTGGTAATCGGTACAACGTCATGACTAATAACATTGCAGAGTCATTGAATTCAGTCCTCAGGCGGCAATGAAGTTTCCCTATAACTTCGTTCGTCCAACACATTACGATATTGATGCAACAATGGTTCTTCAAGCGGAGAAACACATCTACCAACTGTCATACTGCGCTGACATAAAAAATGGAGGGGGAATTGAGACAATCTTTTGACGCCGGTACAACCTTGGATATACGAAATTTGGATGAACTTATTTTTGAGGTTGGCACAGGTGTAGAAATGTGTACTGTCAACCTTGTAGGTAAGACATGTTCATGTCGAGAGTTTCAGATGCGACAAATTCCATGTGCACATGCGTCCTGCGCTGCGTGCTCAAAAGGTATATCACTGTACGACTTCTACTCCCGTTACTACACCACGGAGTGTTGGCAAGCTTTCTACACCGAACTTCTTTACCCCGTTGGAATGGAGTCAGATTGGATTGTTCCCGATGCTATTAGTTCCATCAACATTTTACCTCCAAATATACGTATAGCACTAGGTCACCCTCCTACCCAACGTAGAAGGTCAAGAGCTGAACTGTGTACCAACACCCAAAAATGTGGCCAATGTGGTGGTTTCGGACACAACAAGCAAACATATAGGAACTTGACATGGAGAAGTAACACGTGCACTTGAATTACTAGTGTATTTTGTGTATGAAATCATTTGCTAACATGGACTATCCATGTGTTCAATAGATTTTTGTACATTTCATGTTTCTATCATTTTTCTTTCCAAATGTAATTGGTAGGATTCGATTTTGTGAATGAAATGATTCACTAACATATATTATCTATGTGTTGAATAGATTTATGAGCATTATATGCTTTCTATCATTTCGTTTCTGAATGTCATCGGTAGGGTTCGCTTTTATTAACACGTAATTTCATGAAGATAAAAGTTAATAACTGCTTCAGTACTGCAATTTTCTTCGTTATTATATATACAACTTGGTAATGGATACAAAAGAAAGCCATGCATGACTCATTTTCTTATGTCACTGACCATACTAAATAGTTGTCACAACAAAAGTAGAAAACCACTATGTGCATATTCGAGGTCACTGCACATACAAATTGGTCGTCACTACAAAAATTATCCATTATCCATATACCTATAAATATGTCATTGGATATGCTTAGACATTTTAGATATACGATCGAACCTTCTACATGTCCTCCACACCCGACAAAGAGGACATAACACTGTCATTGTTATTGTCGTCGTCCGAGCTTATCACTATCACGTCATCATTTCTGATCGAAACTGCCCCGAAATTGTAGTCCACCAAGGAGGCTTGGTTTGCTTCCGGTGGGACCTCCATTGTTACATTCTCACGATTGACATTATGATTACCATCTCCAACTTGCAGTAGCTTAATTTCATCGATTAGATTAGAGAATGGAATGGGTGTAAGGCAAACCCTACGACGGCGGTTTGTTGCTTGAGGAATATATGGAACAACGACATTGATTTCTTCATCTTTTTCGGAGTCGATGATGATAGGGTTGGCCGTTGAAGAGCTAGGTATGGATACGTTCATGACAACATCAATATGTGGAGTCCGTTTAGTTGATTAAGACATATTCATCGGAAGAACTTGTTCACATTAATATTTTGTTCAAAGAACCATGCTTGCATATTGAAGCCAATTCCATTATTTTATAGTGAACACTAAGGTGTGCATTACTGCATTAAAAGTCCTCAAACCAATTCCACCTACTTGTATTTACATTTGATTGACATACTGTGTCCCTATAATATCTTCTACTTGTCCTATCAGTCAATCTTAGCCTCTATTTCGCCCATTTTCATTCCATTGTTAATACTTGGAATAGTATTTATTGGGAAATGCCAAAAAGTAGGAAAATGTTGAACAAAAAATACAAATCGATGCAATTCATGACGTTTCATGTCGTTCCAACACTTCAATAGTTGTTATCGACATTAGTAAGTCGATCATTCGACACTTGAACTTACATTAGATATCGCGTTAACATTTGTACCGAAAAAGGAAATGGTTCATTTCTCGACATTTCATACATTTATTGACATTTGTCGTGTAGTTCTTGACATTATATGCTAGCATATCTTGACACTTGACATTACATTTGTCTAGAATGACAGTACGAACATAAAAAACACATAAATATAGCAATGAACAACTGATCATGGACACCGGTGGTGAAATATAATCAATGGTCACACAATCAAAGTACAGCTAGTCAATACAAATTTTTCACTATTGGGGATGAAGAAAGAATTCGTTATGATAAAGATTTACCGCAATCTTTTATCTATATAGTGACATTCTGTCTGCTGAAACTGATTCTATTGGATGCCCTAGAACGAAACATTCTATATATTTGAGTACAAATATTATGCAATTTGGCCTATACAAGAAATGATTTTACGTTAGTCGAAATTAGTATATACGATAAATTAACTATGATAGTAAATAATAAGAGTTGAAATGCTCACCCATTGTTTGCACGTGGTAGATAAGGTATAATCTCCTGCTTTATTCGTTCATTTCTATGTTTATTTATATCTCGTCTGGTGAAAAGAGGTGAACACTGCAATAATCCTTGGACCATAGTGCATGTTGCTTCTACGTATGCCTTGATTGCATCTGGTGTGTGAATTATTGTTGCAGTCGTATATCTGAAATTTCCATTAAGGAATATTAACCAGAAAAAGATAACATTCATTGCATGGATATGAGCTTGGAATTAATAAATACTTGCACCTCATCCACAGACGACTAGCTATAGGCAATCTACCATTGACGTAGTCTTGTAGGCAAGTTCCATCCCGTTGACCTCTCTGATTTCCCATTTGAAAGTCCAATTGCCACCTCATTTGATGAGAACACTCCTCTTCAAATTGAAAGTCCAAAATTGCATATTATTTATTGACGAGAGTACAACCTTCATTCATACACCAGTTCAATAACTTCATCTCCAACTCAATATGCTAATGAAATAAATACATGTAACATATATTAGACATATTAACTATGAAATCAAATTGATTGTGATTGCCAACCTTCACTCACCGTAATATTCAGATCTTTCGTCGGATCCATTAAAGTTCTTAGCATGTCTCTTTCATAGACATTTCCATTGCCATCGTTCAAATATGCACTATATACATAATTTAAATTACTGTCGAATAAATCAATAGAGAATTTTTGACATTGATATAATAATGTTTAGCATTCGGACAAGTAAGAATGAGTTAAATTTACCTAGATTGATTTGTTAATATCCAATCTTTAATGTTTTTGTATTTTTTTAAGTCATAGTCTTCTAAGAGATGGCCTGTGGATGACAAAGACTTTGTGTATTTCCTCTCATTTTCTCTTTCTCTTCTCTTCTCCATATTTCAACACTTTCAATTTGTTGAGACATTGATGTCTCATGTGGTTGATCAGTAAGATTTGGACTTACATGGGGAGGAACATCCTGCTGCATGAAACCTATAATGGCTTCCATGTTGGATTCCATATTAGATAATCTGTTTAGCATATTCTCATTCTTTTTGTCAATTAAGATCTCACAAAACATAAATTGGTATCAACATAAGATTGTATGTGCTCTTGTTGCTGTTGGAATAATTCTTCTTGCCTTGAAAAATTGCCTGATAATGGGCTTCTTGTTTTTGCGATTCCTAGATGATATGAGTGTTAAACAAGCTTGATAGAGAATTATCCAAGTATGAATACATACCACATTGTATGTAATCTTGCAACAATTTGTTATGTTGTTCGAACAGCTGCTTTTGACTTTCAAAGATTGCATGGTTTAGGGCTCTTGATTTTTCAACAAATTCTGCCTTCAAGTTGGCACATAAACCGGACATATCTGATATCGTATGCTGTCTGCACATATCCAACATTTCTTCCATTCGATCTTCAGTTACATATCTGGAGGCACCAGAAGCAGAACTAGGCCCAACTCCAGTTGAAGTTCTTGATGTACCATGACTGGTCGTTTCTTAGACACAGATGTTATCCGGTATTGGTTGTACTACATTATCTAATTTTCCATTGACAATGGGATCTAATATACTATGTTTATTATCAACTGGCAATGAAAGGCTTGTATACCACGATGTTTGTAATTTTTCTTCCGTAGGCTGCAACGCCGCAATGACTTTGATCTGTAATCATAATAAACTATCAGAATCAATTTGTTGAATTTAACTTGTTAATAATTAAATGCGAATGTCATTCTACATTGAAAAGAAAAAATTCATACCCTTTCAGTATCCAAAAATTCCTTAATATTCGATTCTTTGAGTATTGTATTAGGCCTCCACTTGTACATTCGTGGACTTTGCACCATTTTGTATCTATGGCGACCAACCTTTTTGTCCAATCTGTGAAAATGCTTCATATATCCAATACTGCAACATAATTAAACATAAATGTGATGTATATAATTTATTTTTTGTACAAAGAAATTATACATAATACGTCAATAATTAGAATAGGAACAAAATACCTGAAATGCAAGTGGATGGCCTTGTACTGCATACTTATATTCTGTTTGTTAGTTCGTTGCATTCTTAGTATTCTTTCCAATTGTGACTCTTTCAATGAATTTAACAAAATGAAATATGTTTTACGACCCCATGGATACGTAAGGAACTCATCAAGATGTTCAACCATGCCCAGAGATCTATAATCAATTTGTCTTATAGTCAGTTTCAACACACACTCAAACAACATGACTAATCTCAGTTTAAATTTATCTTCTTCATCTTCACACATGTGGAAAGTTTCAAAAAACATTCTATTGCTAATTCTTTTTGTGCCATTGAAGTATTGATTTCTAAGACGATCATTATTATAATCAATTTCTATGGATAGTTCATGGTAAGGTAGTCCAGTAATGAAACAAAATTCTTGCATGCCAAACCTAGTAAGATGGTCATCTAACCGTACCCAAAGTTCATTATTTTTGCCACAATGTACAATTCTCATTATAAATTTGTATACCAACTTACTAGTCTAATTAAAATTGAAAGAATTAAATTTTATCATAAAGATAAAAGAATTAAAAATAGTTTTGATTCAAAAAAATTAAAATAAATGGAGGAAAGAAAATCTTCTTCATAACAGTCTCCAATATGGAAAGAGAGTCTCCATGTTATGGAGAAGTTGTTCTCCATAACACAGGGAGGATCCTCTCTGTGTTATGGAGAGGTATCTCTCCATCAGTTTGTTTATTTATTTATTTATTTTTGTTTATATGGAAAATATTTTTTTTTTCGATTTATAATTTTTGTATTTATTTTCTCTTTATGCTAATTTTTTTTAATTTTAATTAAATATTATGTATATGTTCTTTATTTAATATTTAATATTTGTAACTTTTTTTGTTTAATTTATGAATTTTTTTTGAAAATTATTATATCACCCATTTTTCCTTCATATGTAAATAACTTTTTGTTCGATTAAAAATTCTTTTTAATTCTTTTCATTTTGTAATATAAATAAAACTATTTTAGTTCAAACTTTATCAACGTTTATAATTTCTACTGAAGTTTTTATGTATAAAATTTTATATTGACAAAAAAAAAGGTTTGACAAATTTCTTTAATTTATTAAAGCTAACCGATTTAATCAG